TGGGGAGAGGAGGGGTACAGCAGGGGCTGGGGTTCCCCCCCCTCCCTCCCCAGACAGCCCCCGACCCCATCCCAGTCACCTCCAAGTCAGGCACTGGGACTTCTTTCCCGCCTCCAGGTGCTGCCCAACCTGCAGCTGCGAGATTTTGGGGCAATAACCCGTTTTATCCCGACTGTGCGTTAGGAAGGGGAGAGGAGAGGAGAGGAGAGGAAGGGGAGAGGGAGGGGAGGAGAGAGAAAGAGAGAGAGAAGGTAATTTTAATCCGATATTCCTATTAAAATGCCATCTGCCAGGCGAGGACACCAGCCTGGAATGAAAAGCCTGTGAGAAATAAAGAAAGTCTGAGCTGGGACAGGCAGTAGCTCACTTTCCTCAAGGCCCAGCCACCACTTAACCACCAAATTAAATAAAAAAAACATCTTTTTTTTTTTCTTCCCCCCCCTCTTTCCCCATGCTCTGGGAAATAGGAAGAGCAGCACGTACCTTCTCCAGGGTGGAGGGGGGAGAAGGAGACTCTATATCCCTTCATCCCTCCCGAAATCTGCCATTTTTGTAAAAAAACAAACAATATTTGAAAAGTCAACACTTTGCCAGAGTAGCAGAGGAGCAGAAAGCTGCTCCGAGGCGGGGAAAAAGCACAGAAATATCTGCCCGGCGCGCCAACTTTTGGGTTATTTACTGTTTATTCCATATGACAAAATAGAAGTTACAGCGCCCTTTCGCAGACGAAACGGCGACTAATAAATATACCGAGTACATCATTGAGGGGAGGGGGGATAAAAGAAGTGGACCGAATTTAGACAGAGATGTACAAATCGGGGTTCGCCTTGGCTTTTTTTTTTTTTTTTTTAATATATATCTTAGCATTTAGCAAATCTACATTAATTACGCAACAAATAAATACACAATTATATTAAGTCCAGAGGTTATTTCTCCCTCCCCCACCTCCCATGCTGCACTTTCCTGCCCGGAGATTTCGGAGGAACCGCGAAAAACGGTGTGTGTCGTGTGTCCCCCCCCTCCCGCCCCCTCCCCAAAGTCTATTAATTTCTTTTATATGCAAATAATAATAAAATGATGCCGTTCGAGTCCCAAGAAAAACACGCGAACACACACCAGGGACACCCCACCACACACACACTCCCCCCCCGGCTCCTCTCCGAGGTTTAAAAGTGGATTTTTAGGGGTTTCCGAGCCCCCAGTGAGGGGAAAATCTTTTCCTTTCCGAGGTGAGAGAGCAAAGCGGAGGTGGCAGAGCATCTTCCCGGGGCAATTCCCAGCAAAACCCACCAGCAATTTCCTTCTCCCAGCGGGGCGAGCAGAGAGCGAGGCTGGGATTTCACAAAACTTACTGGGTTTGGGGTTGGTTTTTTTTACACACCCCCCTCCCCCCCATTTTTCTTTTTATTTTTTTTTTTCCTTTTCCTTCTTCTCCAGCTCTTTTTTTTTTTTTTTTTCATTTTTTCCTATGATTATCGCGCTTTTTACAGCTGAGGACACCACCCAGCCACCCTGCGGATTTTATTTTTTTTTTTCGTAAGCCTTTTTGGTGCTGCTTCTTGTTGTTTTTCTCTTTGCTTGGTGATTACACCCCACCCCACCCCCCAAAAAAAAAGAGCGCACAGGTTAGGACACTTAGTAACAACCTAAAGAGCGGTACACTAAATTTTTGCGTGAAGCTAACAGCGGGGTTGGCTTTTTTTTTTTTTTTTTTGCATACTAATAAGAGATTTCCTTTGTCTGAGGGATCTGTGACTCCATCCAGCAGCTCCCTCCCTCCCCACCCCACAAGAAAATATTAAAAAATCAAAGTTTCCTCAAGGTAGCTTCCACCAGAAGTGATGGAAAAGGCAAAAAAGACCCCACCCCACCATCGACAACAGTAAAATAAAAAAACAAGCAGAGGACATCTTCCCCCCACCCCCCATCTGCAATCCCACCTAAAGAGCCTCTTTGCTTTTCAACTTGGAATCTTTCTTCCACTTCATCCTCCGGTTTTGAAACCAGATTTTGATTTGTCTCTCGTTCAGGCAGAGGTTGTTGGCGATCTCAATGCGCCTCCGCCGGGTCAGGTATCTGTTAAAATGAAATTCTTTCTCTAGTTCCAGTGTTTGGTAGCGGGTGTAGCTGGTTCGGGAGCGTTTCCCATCCGTTTCTGGGAGGGGGAAATAAAAAATAAAATAATAATAAAGAAAAAAAAAAAGGGAAGACACCGCATGAAAAGCCAAAGCAATTCGGGATGGATTTAAAAATAATTTTTATTATTTTTTCTTGCTTTTTTGTTCTTGTTTTAATGGTAAAACCCGGTTACAAATCTACAAGGTACAGAAGTTTGCTGGGGCTGTGGGCAGGCGGGGAGCAGAGTAGCCCGAAATCCTTCACTCCCCCCAACACCTTCAGCCCCCCAAGTCCCCCCCTTCCTTTCTAAAGCCCACATCAAACGCATGTAGATGAGCCAGAAGTGAACCTGTTTCCTCTCGGACAATAAGGAAGTGTACAAAGGAGGGAAATATCTTTTCTTGGAGATCTTGTCCCTTTCTCCCCCCCCCCCACCTCCTTTTCACCCCTGGGAAGGTGGAAGGGAAAAAATCTCTCCACGCTTTCCCTCCCTTTGGCTTCTTGGTGTCTTTGTTGGTTTTTTTTTTTCTTTTTTTCTTTTTTTAAAGCTCGCCCTCCAAGAACATGTGTATTTCAAGTTATTTTTAACCCCCCCTTCCCAAAAAAATGGAATATTGCCTTTTATACACGTTTTGTTTCTATGATCCAATTATGCTGTCATAAATTTGGGCGTATATAGCCTCTAAGCCTTTTAGTGGACAGTTTTACGAGCAATTGATGCCTTAGTCGTAAAATTTACGACCTCAGGTTTTTTATTATTTGCCCCGTATGGCCTATAAATTTTCAAGGCAAAAAAAAAAAAAAAAAAAAAAATCCTGTGAAACAAAAATCAAGAAGTGAAAGTTTTACCATGGCTCATGTGTAGTTTGGTCATCCAGGGGTAAATTTGTGGAGGTTGTTGCTGCTGCAGTTGTGGTCCTCCTTGTTGTGCTGTTTGCACGGGCTCAGCTTTGATTTCACCCGTGCTCTTAGATCTCTCCTCGTCGTGTTAGCACTCTTCTGACTGTAAATCCCGGGATTTAGGGATGCTTGATCGTCTCTGGCTAAAGGATGCCCTGAAGAACCCATGACCGTGCAGGAAGGTCGCTCGGGGTTAGCTCGGGGGGTTGCAGACATCTCCAAGCCTCCAAGGGAGGTGGCAGCCCCAGAGGAGGGGAGGGTGATGCTTAGATCCAAGCCACTGTAGCGGTACCTGGGTGACTGAACCTCAGGCACACTTCCATAATTTCCATAACTTTGCATGGCATAGGCAGGAACGGGGGGACTTTGCTTATAAAACGAATTGGCGACGTAAGAACTCATGGCGGAGGAGGGGAGGGAAAGAAGAAGAATAAAAAAAAAAATTAAAAAAAAAAAAGGGGGGGGGCAGAAAATTTGGGGAGGGGGGTTTTTATTCCCCCTTTTTTTTTTTTCCCCCCTTTTTTCCTTTTTCCTC